TCTGCCGCCGCCGCCGCCGGGCGCGGGCGCCACGCCCTTTGCCGCCGCCGCCACGCGCACGTTCTCGGTGCCCGACGGCGGCGCGCTGCCACCGCCTCCAGCCGGCAGCTCGGGCCAGTGGCAGGTGATGGCGCCGCCGCTGCGCGCGGGCAGCCCGCGGTCGGCCAGCGGGCCCGCGGGCCCCGGCGCCACACTGGCCGCCTTCCTGGCCCACCCCCAGCTGTCTGGCGGGCCGCCGGCGCAGGCGCAGCAGCAGGGCCCGCCCCCGCGCATGCCCCAGCCCCAGCAGCAGCAGCAGCAGCAGCAGCAGCAGCAGCAGCAGCAGCACCTGCTGCAGCAGCTGCCCGACTGGGTGCGCTTTGCCGCGCAGCAGTCCGGCATGCTGTCGCCCTCCGGCAGCAACGCCGCCTCGCTGCGCCCGCCCCAGCAGATGTCGCTGCAGCAGGCAGCCCAGCTCAACCTGTCGCGCGCCTGCAGCGCCGGCTACCCGCCCGGCGGCAGCAGCGGCGCGGCCGCCACCACCGCCGGCCCCATGCTGCCGCACGCCGGCTTTGCCGACCCGGCGGCGGTGGCTGCCGCGGCGGCGGCCGAGTGGCTGGGCCGCGCCCACTCTGTCAACAGCCCCTCGGCGCCGCAGGTGCCGCAGCAGGTGCCGCCGCCGCACCGCACCGGCTCCGCCTCCGACCTGCCGCCGGGCAGCCACCACAGCGGGGGCCCGTCCCCCGCCGGCGGCGGCCACCCGGGGGTGCAGGGCCCTGCCGCGCAGCACGAGGCGGCACGCCACGCGGCGCTGCTTCACCACGCCGAGGCGCAGATGCGCGCCGCCAGCCGCGCGGCGGCCTCCCGCGCCGCCCTGCGCGCCCCCGCCTCGCTCACCGAGCAGGCCATGCACATGCACATGCAGATGCAGCAGCTGCAGATGCAGATGCAGCAGCAGCAGCAGCAGCAGCAGCAGCAGCAGCAGCAGCAGCACCACCACCAGCAGCTGGCCGCGATGGCGGCGGCCTTCCAGCAGGGCGGCATTGGCGGCTTCAAGCCGCCCGCCACCGCAGCCATGCCCTCGCTGCACGTCAGCGTCGCCGCCGGCTTCAACCCGGGCGCTTTCTTCTCAGGCGGCATGGGCGCCGTCCCGGGCGGCGACCTGGATCACATGCGCTTTGCCATGCCCTCCCCTCTCCCCGGGTGAGTGAGTGCAGCCCGGCTCTGCTGCAGGCCCGCCAGCCCCCGGCCAGCCAGCCGGCCAGCCCCTGGCTCGGCGCGGCATCGCCAGCCCTCGCCGCTGGCACACCCCTGCTGACTGCCCCTTGTGTGCGCGCTCCCGGCCCCCGCTGCGCAGGTTTGACCAGCAGGAGGTGGCTGCCCTGTTGGATGATGTGCTGGGGGTGCCATGAACGCAAATACAGCGCCCCCTAACTTGCTGCCTCTGCTGGTGGCTATAGGCTCCCCAGCGCCGCCCTGCGTGGCCGCCCTGCGCTGTCCACGCAGGCTGGCGAGGCTCCGGCCTGCCCCCCTCACCCCCGCCCTTCTTTGACCGAACCTCTCCCCACTTTTTCCCACCCTCAGCAACCCCACCCCTGCAATACATTGTTGGCAAATCCCCTTTCACCTCTTCATTGCGCACCCGCGCTTGACGCCCAGTTCCGCCCTGCCCTGAACCAAACCTCCACCCACACCTCACGAGAGGAGCTGCCCCGTGCCGCCAGCATCCTTCCCCCTATCTACCCCCGCTAGTTTTGCTCCGGCCCCTTTTGCGTTGGAGCCCTGACCCATCCCTTATTCCAAGCACTCGCCCTGCCGCCGCATGCGCCTGCTGCTCCCCGCCCTGAACTGCTGCCGTTTTTGTTCCGGGTTTTTTTCCCAGCTTTCCAGCGTGTTGAGCTTGTGCCTTCGGCCATCCACACTACCAACGCACACCTGCGCGGCTGGCATGGATGGACGGCAACCCTTTTCCCTGGCCCCATGTTCTAGCTTAGCACACTGCCTACATGCCACCGGGGATGTCAAGGTGTGAGCCCTCCCCCAGCCCACCTGGCCATTTCTCCTTCCCCAGCAACGCCGCCGTATCGCCGCTTGTCCAGGTGCCGGCGGGCGTGGCCGGCAGGCGGCAGCCTGCCCTCCTCCCCCGCTGGCGCCCCTCAGCCAGGACCGCTCATGGCTTTGGGCGCTGCACCTCCTTTCTCTTGTTGATCCCTCCCTCTTCCTTCCCACAAATGCCAAACACTCAATCCCTCTCAAAACGCGGCGCCTCGTCCACCGAAGAGGCGGCCCCTCTGGCCACACGCCTGACACTGCGGGCGCGCAGCACCAGCATCACCCCTCCACCCTGGCCCTCAGACTCTGCCAGCTCCAGAAATTTCGTTGGTTCCCTCGTGCTTTCACTGGCCGGCCCCTTGTCCCAGCGTTCGGGCGGGCGTTGGTTGTAATTTACACATCTGCATGCATCAAGAGCGGCACAAGGGCAGGCAAGCAAAGCAGCACAAGGGTGGGGCAAGGCAGCATGCAAGTATGGGTGATCAGTCCTGGTGAGTGGCTCCTCTCCTGGCGGCTAACCAAGGTGGCTCAGCGAAACGCCTTCTCAGGCGTGGCCAGCCCAGGCGGCCCGCCGCCACCCGCGCCCATGCCGTCGGCGGCGGCGCCCTTGCCCCGCAGCGCCTCGACCGACACCCGCTTGCCCCTCTGCCCCGCGCCTCCTCCCTCCTCCGCCGCCCAGGCATCCAGCTGCTCCTGCACGTCCTTGCTCATGTCGGCGGCGATGTTGTGCTCGTCCCGGATGACGGCGGTGCAGCGGTGTGCCTGCGCCGCGTCCACCACCACCACCTGGGGCGCGGGGAGGCCAGCAGCCATACCGGTGTGCGTTGCAGGCGGGCACACGTCTGCGGCCTGGAGGGGCCTCCCTGGCAGGACCTAGGCAGGCTGCAAGCCAGGCCCGGGCCCTGGAGGCTGCACCTCCCCTCTCGCCGGCCAGCCAGCGGCGCGGTGCCCCACCTTGTTGGCTGCCTCCAGGTCGAACCGCATGAATCCCTCCTGGCATGCCATCACCAGCCGCGCCAGCTGCACCGCGGCGGCGGCAGGCAGGCCGGCAGGCGGGCATCGTGACGCGCAGGCCAGCAACGGATCGGTAGCCCTTTGGGGGCGGGGGCGAGGGCGTGGGGCGAGAGCAGGTGCGGGCGCAGCGCAGGCCGCCGCCCCCCGCGCGCGTGCACCAGCGCAAGCCTGGGGCTCGCCCTGCCCCGCCTGTTGACCCACCTGCGCCAGGTTCTGCACGGGGGTGCCGTTGAAGGCGGCCACGGCGCTGTCCCGCACCCCCGTCGTGCTCTCGTAACCCATAGTGGCGTCGCAGGCCAGCACAGAGCTGAGCACCACCACCTGCTCAAGGGGGCAGCGGGCACAGGGCCGGGCAGGCAGGCGGGTGTGTGCAGGGCACCCGGAGAGGAGGCGGTGGGCAGGTGGGCCGGCGCGACACCGGCCTGTGGCCTGCTGGCGGCCCCCGAAGCTGCGCAACACACCACACGCCTGCACCCCGCCCCCGGCCCTCCCTTCCCAACCCCCCCACCTGCTCATCGGACGTGCTCTTGACGCCAAAGTAGGTCTTATTCATGAGGCGCACAGGCGCG